CTCTGTAGCTGACCCATCCTGCTCTGGGGATCCTTTATCACGTGTTACACGTTTCTCTACATAACAAAGATTTCTACATTCAGATCTAAAACCGTATAAGCTAAACCAATGAAAATCACATTGATCAGATCGGTCATTGTTCCCCTGTAGGATCTGGTCTGCAGGTAAGTGTTTGTAGGCGGAGCTTACACCTCCCCCATTGTGTTATATTCCACACAGATAGAGGCGGAGCTGAAACATCTGTTGGCGGCGTCTGGTTCTATATGTAGCAGCGTTCCCATCGTCCTCCTCGATTCCTGAGGTCTGTCGGTGCAGCCAAATGTTCAGATCTTTCCGTACACTCGCATGGACCAAAGTCTATACAAGAGGACCTGTCACATAGGCGTGCGCACAGGGTGTGACGCGTGTGCCTGGGTACATCCTCAGACATGCTAGTGCAACACGGAAACCGCAACACGGAAACCGCAACAGCGGGCGCCGTGTTTTTAGTCACTGAGCCAAGTGGAGGGATTATAAGAGATCTCTCTGTGACCGGCTCAGCGATACGGAGCGCAGCAGGCAGTCCTCCGTGCCTGGGAAGCTGCGAGGGAGCGTGGACGTGGGTTCCCAGGCTTCCTATCCAATCAGGAAGCAGGGCGGGTGGTCACATGACCACCTCCCAGCCTCCCTGCTTCATTACTGCACCCCTGCTGGAAGAGGTAAGAGACAGTTGGAGATGGAAAACACACACACACGTGCTTTTCTGCGCACAACCTAATGCAATAGGCTGCACACGCCTGTGACCTGTCATCATGTGACATACAGCAGGGACACCTCAGTGCCGTGTGCCACCTGGCAGAAGCCCGCCTCTCTCTTGCAGACCCAATACACATATGTAGAGCGGTGAGGACTGTGTGTATGCTGGTTCGGGGGTTCTAATTGTACTCCGCTCCGGCTAATGACCTCTCCATCTCCAGCACAGAAGCACTTTGGTATGAACTCTCAGGCGTGGCTCACGCGTGTGTTGCGTTAGGGAAGCCCATTCATTCCAGTGAGCTTCCTAGTGAACTAAAACGCATCAAAAAAGGTAACAGGTGGATAGGACTTTGTGTGTTTTTGAAAGGCAGCGCACACCACAACGCAAGGTAGCGGCACAACGTGTTCTGAAACGCGCCAGCAAGGTGCACGGGTGTGTCATTAAGAATGAATATATGATAAATGTCGCCAGCGCACCCGTGTCTTGTGTCAATAATCCTTCTTCTTTATTGAGGCAGACTTTCAAGAAACAACGTTTCGGGGGCCACACAGGGGAAGGGGACACTGGTTTGTCATACTAAAACCTGATGAAGGGGACCCCGCGTGGCCCCCGAAACGTTGTTTTGTGACGGTCTGCCTCAATAAAGAGGATGGATTATTGACACAGGTGCGCTGGCGACATTTATCATATATTTGAAGACGCACGGCGCCATGCGTGGTTACTGCAGCACCCTCCTTTATACAAAAGGGTCCCGCTAAGTAGTTCCTCTCCAAGGTTAGGAATGAATGGCACCACAACGCACATGTCACGCGTCGCAAAGGAGTGAATCTCATCTCATTGTGAAGAGTAATCAAATCTTAGGGCTCATTCACTGGGCACCCCGGCCCAAACGGATGTGCAGGTTCAGGCGTCCATGTGACCACGTGTAATTGCGTGCAGCTGCGTCCTCTCACAGGGAAGAACAAGCGGCTGCACGCAGTTACACACAGCACCTCTCCCTTCCGGGATCCGGTCATTTTACAGACGTGCACGCCGTATGGACGCGTCATGCACACCCCCCCCGCCCCCCTGAATGAGCCCGAATACTGCCCGCTGAGCCGCTCATAACTGAATTCCATCACCAGAAGTTATACTTTGTTACACAATGACATCATCACATGAATTCCAGGAATCAGAGGTCACATGTTACACATTTCCTCTCTCTCTCTCTCCCCCCCCAACCAACTGATCGATAATGAGAATAGTTAACAAATTGATTAGTTGGTTGCAGCCCTAGACATCATGGTGTAAAGTTTATAAACAATTGACATTTAGGGCTTGTTCACACCAAGTGCAGAGCAGTAACAGAACGCATCAAAACTGCGTCCAATGGGATTTTGGGCTCTAGTTCACACCGCAGCGTGCAGATCCAGAGCATGTGGCAAAACTGCAGCAAGCCCTATTTATGATTATTAGCGCTTTAGGGCGTGTTGGCATGTATGGTGAGGTTATGTATGATTATATTACCATGTTAGGGTGTGTTGGCATGTACAGTGAGGTCATGTATGATTATATTACCACGTTAGGGCATGTTGGCATGTATGGTGAGGTTATGTATGATTATATTACCATGTTAGGGTGTGTTGGCATGTACATTGAGGTCATGTATGATTATATTACCACGTTAGGGCGTGTTGGCATGTACAGTGAGGTCATGTATGATTATTACCATGTTAGGGCGTGTTGGCGTGTATAGTGAGGTCATGTATGATTATATTACCACGTTAGGGTGTGTTGGCGTGTATAGTGAGGTCATGTATGATTATTACCATGTTAGGGCGTGTTGGCATGTATGGTGAGGTCATGTATGATTATATTACCACGTTAGGGTGTGTTGGCGTGTATAGTGAGGTCATGTATGATTATATTACCACGTTAGGGCGTGTTGGCATGTACAGTGAGGTAATGTATGATTATTACCATGTTAGGGCGTGTTGGCATGTACGGTGAGGTCATGTATGATTATATTACCATGTTAGGGTGTGTTGGCATGTACAGTGAGGTCATGTATGATTATATTACCACGTTAGGGTGTGTTGGCGTGTATAGTGAGGTCATGTATGATTATATTACCACGTTAGGGTGTGTTGGCGTGTATAGTGAGGTCATGTATGATTATATTACCACGTTAGGGTGTGTTGGCGTGTATAGTGAGGTCATGTATGATTATATTACCACGTTAGGGTGTGTTGGCGTGTATAGTGAGGTCATGTATGATTATATTACCACGTTAGGGTGTGTTGGCGTGTATAGTGAGGTCATGTATGATTATATTACCACGTTAGGGTGTGTTGGCGTGTATAGTGAGGTCATGTATGATTATATTACCACGTTAGGGTGTGTTGGCGTGTATAGTGAGGTCATGTATGATTATATTACCACGTTAGGGTGTGTTGGCGTGTATAGTGAGGTCATGTATGATTATATTACCACGTTAGGGTGTGTTGGCGTGTATAGTGAGGTCATGTATGATTATATTACCACGTTAGGGTGTGTTGGCGTGTATAGTGAGGTCATGTATGATTATATTACCACGTTAGGGTGTGTTGGCGTGTATAGTGAGGTCATGTATGATTATATTACCACGTTAGGGTGTGTTGGCGTGTATAGTGAGGTCATGTATGATTATATTACCACGTTAGGGTGTGTTGGCGTGTATAGTGAGGTCATGTATGATTATATTACCACGTTAGGGTGTGTTGGCGTGTATAGTGAGGTCATGTATGATTATATTACCACGTTAGGGCGTGTTGGCGTGTATGGTGAGGTCATGTATGATTATTGCCATGTTAGGGCGTGTTGGCTTGTATGGTGAGGTCATGTATGATTATATTACCACGTTAGGGCGTGTTGGCGTGTATGGTGAGGTCATGTATGATTATTACCATGTTAGGGCGTGTTGGCGTGTATGGTGAGGTCATGTATGATTATTACCATGTTAGGGCGTGTTGGCGTGTATGGTGAGGTCATGTATGATTATTACCATGTTAGGGCGTGTTGGCGTGTATGGTGAGGTCATGTATGATTATTACCATGTTAGGGCATGTTGGCGTGTATGGTGAGGTCATGTATGATTATTACCATGTTAGGGCGTGTATGGTGAGGTAATGTATGATTATATTACCACGTTAGGGCGTGTTGGCGTGTATGGTGAGGTCATGTATGATTATTACCATGTTAGGGCGTGTTGGCGTGTATGGTGAGGTCATGTATGATTATTACCATGTTAGGGCGTGTTGGCGTGTATGGTGAGGTTATGTATGAATATTACCATGTTAGGGCGTGTTGGCGTGTATGGTGAGGTCATGTATGATTATTACCATGTTAGGGCGTGTTGGCGTGTATGGTGAGGTCATAGGCGAGGCATGTAATGTGCACTGTGTCATTATTTGTCTTCGCAGTGGACAGAAGTACATGACGGCCGTGGTGAAAGTGTTTGGACCCCTGACACGCAATTATTATGTCCGTGCAATACTGCATTTTAATATGGCGGCACATTGTCATGGGTTGCAGTTCTGTATCCCACAATGCACCTCTTTCACACAGAGTCATGTGACACGAGTGACAGCTCCACAGCTCGGACCCCCGATATATATAAAATCTTTCCTTTTGTGTCCCACAGGTTGGCCGTCCCCGGAGGGTTTATCCTGGCCACAATCTTGGGCACCGTGTGTCTCGGCATTGCAGCCCTCATCTACCTTCTGGTAAGTAACCCGGCGCCACGTCCTGCCCCCCAAATGTCTACTAAAGTGGAACGCCGGGCAAGTCTTTTTTTAAGGTTTTGGATGGAGTGGGGGAAGGGTTAGAACCTCTGTCAGGTTTTCAGTAATATCTCCTGCTGGGGAAACTCGCTGCCACTTCCTGTGCTAGTGACAACCGTGACATCCCTTGGGAAGCTTCTAGTGTGTGTGTGTGTGTGTTATAAGCTCATAACCCCTCCCCCAAAATTGTGTTTATTCCACCCAAAAAGTACCAGACTCTTGCTGACCCTCAACCCAACTTTTCATCTCCCCCCTAACCCCAAAACGTAACCGATAATGTGAACTGACCCCTGACCCGGACGTGTACCTATAGGTGAAGCTGTTTGCGGGGGATGGTTAGAACTCGCATTAGATTTCCAATGTTCCGGACTTGTTACCGATGACACAGCCGGTCCCGTGTGACAACAATGTATCACAAGACCCATCCGGCAGTCCATAGACCGGCCGTGAGATATCGCATTCTGTGCGGTCATCGACCCGAACGGGTTCCCGCGCCAAAACCTTCTGTGCCGGGTGCAAAGCCCGGCCTGGAAGTCTGGAACAATGGGGAAGGGATGAGGAGGGGGTATCATGGGAGAAGTGGGGGGATAGAGGACCTATTGGCAGGGCCGTCTTTAATATTGATTGGACCCTGGGCAAACATTTTTTTGGGGCCCCCTGACACACCCTCGCCATGCAGTTTTGCCCCGCCGTGCAGTTTTGCCCCGCCATGCAGTTTTGCCCGCTATATGCTGACAGCACACCACCGCTACCTGATTGATAGCTGGCTCTGCATCTGTAGATCCAGAGCCAGCTGTGCCCGCCCCCTCCCCGATGCCGAAGAGGTGGCCGCTGCAGCCAGCCCCCTCCCCGTGGTGCAGCTAAATACAATGCTGGGGTGCAGAGAACATGGGGCAAACCATTACTTCCTGTCTGTGTCCCGTTGGGGAGACTTCCTGTTCTGGTGACAGCTGTTACATTTTGGATTTCCCATCACTTTCTGTCTCTGTGACATCAACTCAAATAGAGAGAAGGTGACTCCCCCCAAAATCATTGAGTTCCAGTTTTATTAGCTGTTTCGGGTTTGTTAGCCCTCGTTAGCGTCAGATATGGAAATGTGGCTTCTATAAAGCAGGTGCGGGGAGCACCGGAAACATGATAACCAATCAGGGGATGGCAGAGAACCCAAATATACCGCAACCCCCTTCCACTGGAAGTACAATGACTTCAGAACACCTGCGTGATGTCTGTGTCTTTCTCCAATGTTTTGTACTCTGCTCCCTCTGCAGGCAGCGATTCGCGGAGAGGAATGGCGTCCCATCGAAGTCCGAGAAGAACCCAAGCTGAGGGTGGCGGAGACCATTAAGCGCCCGCCGGAGAACCCCCCTCCTCGTCCTCCGCCAGAGGTGCGCAGGAAGCAAGCGGATGAGGGTCATGTCAACCCCATCGCCGTCCAGGATGAAGTATGATGCCCCCTCCCCCAACGTAATCGCCTGATGCTGCCCACTGAAAGGACTGGTTACTACCGCTCGGTTCTGTGGTCATGTGACCCATTGCTGCAAATCCACCGGCTTTTGAGGACTAGATCTCCGCCCGCAGGGGGCTCACCTGTCATCCTCCTATGGGGTGCTCACCTGTCATCCTCCTATGGGGTGCTCACCTGTCATCCTCCTATGGGGTGCTCACCTGCCATCCACCTATGGGGGGCTCACCTGCCATCCTCCAATGGGGGGCTCACCTGCCATCCTCCAATGGGGTGCTCACCTGCCATCCTCCAATGGGGTGCTCACCTGCCATCCTCCTATGCGGTGCTCACCTGCCATCCTCCAATGGGGTGCTCACCTGCCATCCTCCAATGGGGTGCTCACCTGCCATCCTCCAATGGGGTGCTCACCTGCCATCCTCCAATGGGGTGCTCACCTGCCATCCTCCTATGGGGGCTCACCTGTCCTCATACCTCCTGCTTGTGAGAGACTCCCATTGCACATGACGGAACGAGCGGCAGACCTGCGCCAGAATTAGCTTTTTTTGTGTAAACGCCAACAAACCGCAGCAAATATTTGGGGGGCATTTTTATCTTTTCAAGGTGCAGTCAGTATTCACAGATGTATGATAATGATGATGAGGATGATAAGGATGATGATGAGGATGATGAGGATGAGGCTTCTTTGTTACATGTCCGGTTGTGTTAAAAATGCTACAATGTATATTATTTGCCATAAACTTCATTTTGCACTTGCTGTTTCTTTGTTGTCGTATCTCTCCCGCTCGCTCCCGCTCGCTCCCACTTCCTCTACACAACAAAACTGGATTTCTGTGCTTACCATATAATCCGATCCTTGCAGTTTCTGTCACGGCAGAGAGCCGTGACAGGATGGAGAGGTGAGTGAACGCCGGTATGTGTTCGCTCACCTCCCGATCTACTGAGCCGACCTGTGACAGTCTCATTGTCACAGGTCGGCTAGAACTACCGTATGAGGTGAGTGAAAAGCACCCCCCCTCATAGTTCTCCTTTTAAGGGACACAGGATCAGTTGTTGTTCTGATACGGTTGGGTTGTACTGCCGACTACAGGAGGATTTGGACACAGGCAAAGAAAAAAAAGCCAATGGCCAACCAGGTATAACCACTCCCACTCCCAACATGCTTCAGTTCTCTAGAAAAGCAGAATTCGGAGTAGATCACAAAACACGAGGTGGGGGTGGGGGTGGGGCCTGTGTCCACTAATGAATTCCAAGAACTGGAATTTACGATAAATACACAAACGCCGTTTTCATTGTCAGGACCAGTAGTTATTCTGATACGATTAGGACTTCCAAAAGCTGGGGGGTGGGGGGGGCAACACAATACAAAACGCCAATGGGTCCACATACCAAAGCAGCACAAAGCTGAGGGGGCCCTGTAGATCAAAGAGCTGCTTGACTGACCTTGTACCCGAAGCTGGTCTCAGATGAGGTCTGAACACCCACCTTGGAGACCATAGGACCACGTGACAGCCTGGGAAAGGTTGCCTGATGCCCAAATGCCAGGGATCCCAACCTGAGGACCTGATGGACAACTTTAGGTCGGACTTTGTTGATTGACAGCAGCAGTGGGCGGGTGCTATAGCTAGTCTGCTATTGGCTATTGAAATTTGAAATAGCCAATAGAAGCGTAGCTATGCATTCCTATGCCGTTTTTTTTTTTTTCTCTCCCGGGCGCCGCTATCTAATAGCGGGAGACTCCCGGAACGTCCCGGAGAGTTGGGATGTCTAAAGTGCCCAAGAAGTACTCGCAGGTCTAGCAGTGTGGAAACGTACCCCTATAGCCATAGGCCTGAACAATAATTGGTCACCAAGAAATGGCGGCACGAGAGGCTGGCTCCCCTTTTACGGGGGCCCATCAGGAATGACAAAATGGAGTCTATGTAATGGGAGCAATTGGGGGAGAGGGGATCCCGCACACACTACATCCAGACAGTGACGGGAATTTCCTTCCGGTGTATTGGAGAGAGACAGAAGAACAATGTCCTGGGTGAGGAGGGAAAGGCTGAAACCACCTGAGGAAGGACGGACGTTCTAGGCCTCAGCACCACCATGTCCTTGAGTAAGTCCAAGAAAAGGTTCTTCACATAACAAGGCCGCTGGCTCAGGCACACTCCTCACAGAAGTGACGGCCACAAAGGAAGCAACCTTGTGAATAAGAGCAGACTGGGCAATCTCACTCATAGGTTCAAATTAGGGATACGCCGATACCAGTACCAGTATCAGTACCGATGCCCATCAACAATCAACACGCTAATGGCATTTTATATTAAAGGAGAACTATGAGGGGGGGGGGGGTGGTTTTCCCTCACCTACA